CTTGTGTTATTTTTTTTTTTTTTGCCAACACTCTTTGGCGTGCAAGTGAATGCCTCCGAGTGGCCAGAGCTGGCCTGTTCGGGTCTGGCTTGGTCTGCTCGATTGCCCAACGGCAGCGGCAACAGTTGGTCAGCCGTTAAGCAAATACATGTACCCATACTTATGCAAAATGCATTCGCATGTGCTGCCACCGCTGCTGCTGCTACTGCTATTTATATTTGCATTTTCATTTGACGCGTTTATTGTGCAATTGCAATGCAAATATGCCGCCGACTCCCTAATTGAGTTAGCCGGCGCATGCCCGAAACTGCACCCAGACTTTATATGAGTGGCGGGAGTGCTTCATTTGGGTCAAGGTTAGCTACACCGTGGGCCATAATGATTATCTTTGGCAAAGAGAGCGACTAATTGGCTGGCAAACACTCAGGCAGACGCATACTAACATGCTCTTCACATGATTTACACCTTTTTAACCTTTTTAGACTGCTCTCGGGCATTTCGAAGTCATTTTTCACAAAGCGCACGTCATAACGATAGAGAGAGATAGAGATAAAATGAATAAATGTGCTTAAAGCAAACAAATTTTTGATTGGAAATTAGTTCAAGGTCATTGATCGAACGTTGCCAGCTCCATACAAGATTGTCGCTGGCATTTTGCTAATCGATTGCGCTGCATATAAATATTCATAAGCAGCCAATCAGTAAGCCAATGTTAGCATTTAGTTTAAGCAGCCATCTCCGAGCGACACCGCGTAGGAATGAGAATTGCCCAACACTTTGTGCCGAGAGCAAACATCCTCAAGAGATAAAATACTATTTGCATACTGCGGCTGGCCGGGCAACACCTTAGGCTTTTGGCCAAATTAATTCTGTAAATGAAACGCATTTCAGAAATGTCATGCTGCAACAAAAACAAAACGACTAACGAGCAAGTCCGAATGCTGACGAAATGTATTTCAAGTTCGTTGCTTGAGTCTTTCGATTTGCGTATTGTGTGTTGTCTATTATATTGAGTTGACTTGAGTTGAGCCGAGTTGAGTTAGTCAGAGCCAACAGCAGTTGTGTGTGCGTAAATTGCGTAAATTTATGTGTGCCTTTGTACGCGTGGTATGTGCATGTGTGGAAGTGATGTGTCTATCGGTGTGTGTGTGTGTGTGTGCACAGTCAACAATGGACAAGGTCAGGCCAAGTAGTTTTTTATAATAACAACAGGCCAACTTTTTTTTTTAGTTTTTGGGTGCGCTTGACATTTATGGCTGGAAATTTGAGCGCTTTGTTTGTTGTTAGTATTTGTGCATGGTTATTGATAATTTAATTAGCTATTAGAGCGCCATTTAGTTTCACACACACACACACACACAGATACATATCATCTATATGCATTTGCTTAACTTTTTTTCGGTTGACAAAATGAGATTTCCAAATGCCCCGTGAGAAATGTCACAAGCTGAGGCAATCACCCAAATATTTGTGAAGCAGGTAATGCTATCTACATATTTCCTGAAATACCCAAAAATAACTTATTTTAATTAACTGGGCACAGTCTAGCGCTGTCATTTAAATAAATTTATAGCCCAACTAAAAAGTACAAAAAACTCATAAAACCATTTTGTATGTAAGTTGTCTCAGATAAATACTTTAGACACCGTGCCTAATACAGTGTAAAGAGTTGAGCAACACTCGAATTGACAGTTTGTAATTATAATGTGGTCATAAGGTCCATACACCTACTCTGTCTATGAGCTCATCTGCTAGGCTGTGTAGCTGCCCGCTGCAGCTGGCTGCTGGTCAAGTTTGCGTTTTTTTTTTCTTTCTGTAATTTCTGTGTAAATCCCAGGGAGTCAGGGCGCTGAGTCAGCAGACAGGAAATGTTTTGCGCCCGGCGAGAGCTAACTATTTTGTTTTGTTTATTTTGACAATCGCCCATAATGCACTTACATAAGCCGAGCTGCCGGGACGAACAGCAGCCGCTCGAGAATGATCGATGATTGAGCTATCTAATCATATGCAATCAAGTTAATGCTAAGCACGCAATGTAAACAAGTCCAGACGCATTTAAGATCTCGTGCTGTCTCTTTCGCTCAGAGCTGGGCGTTCGTCTCGGTTGAATGTGCGGCATGATGGGAATATGAATGAATACACTCAATCCTCGAGGAATGTTTGCACAGAGTACAGTACAGCCTGCACATGCCTGGCGAATTCCACGATAGCCAGAAGATAATTCTGGAATTTCCATTCCAATATGCAAATTGAAAGGCAAACAATAAAAGCAGGAACCGCAAGAAGAAACTTGAAATAAGTTTAACGATATACGAATACCTATTAAATCTTTCTCTGGCAGAGTATCTGCTCGTCACATATTCGTTAAATCGATTTGTAATTTATTATCGCTAGCGTGCGGCATATAAATTATCGAGTTCTATTCATAGTTAATCATATCTGAGCGGAAGCCGCACGGGCATTGTTCAATACGTCAATACCTTTGTAAGACATGTGAAATCGCCTAAAGATGCAGACAAATGAGCTATTGATATGGTAACATTATGCAATGAGCCACCGAGTACGAGTATTTGACACAATTATAAACTTGTTCGCCCTGCGTAAAAATGCGGTCGAACTTTTCGCTTGACGCAGCTCGCAAATATGCAAAAGAGACAAACACACACACACATACACTCAGGCAGACACACATGCAAAAAAGGTGACTGCGCGAAGGGCGAAGCGTAGGAAAAGTCAAATCTCAAGCTATAGGCGAGAGAGACCTCACAGATCTCAACAAAGCTGCACAGCTTATGCAATATTTATGGGGCGACAAAGTGCAAAAGCAACAGCAGGAAGACTAACTGACGGACTGACTGACTGAATGAATGACTGACTGACTGATTGACTCGACGCAAAGGAAGCCCGCAATCGAGTTTTTGTATCAAAAAACGCTCGACTCCAGCTCAACTGGGTCAACATCAGTGGGTCAAAAATTCAATTTTGTTGCTTTGTTTTATTTTTTGTGGGCTTCACATTTTGATTGCAATTAACAATAGTTGTTGTTGTTGTTTATTTAACACTTTTACTTACGTTGATATCAGCATTTTGTTGTGCTTTGTTGTTGCGCCGCCTTTGGTGGGTGTTTGTTTGCTTTGATTATGTTTAGCGCTATTTGGCTTTACTTTGTTTAGCTATTTAAATGCTAGTTACACTGCCTTTTACCCAAAGAAAATATTTCAAACAATTTTGAAAACGTAATTCGTAACTCTGCGTTGCGCCGAACCTTTTGCAATGTTCAAGTGGAGTTTAGCGTTTTATGCCCACATTGCTGAAATGTACATAAATAATTGTATATATATATATATAAATAGGGAGAAAGAGAGAGAGAGAGACAATGCTCATGTTGAGAGCATAAATTGTTGCTTTATCTGGAGATTGACGAGCTTTCATGGCATAGTTATCTGTTTTGCATCACATCAACATCAACGGAAGACACATTATGGCTGCTTGCATACGAACGATGCAGACGAGTATACCCTCACTCGATGCAGAGTAATGCAACCGGTTTAGGCACTCAATTGCAAATGTTGACTGCCTATGAATCACTGTTTAAACTAAATTGGATGGAAATCACTGTAACTAGACTATCTGTAGCAATGAGTATAGATTGAATTGCAACGAAACCACTGAGTAGCGTATATTAAGTTCGATATCGTACGATCGATCATTCACAACAAAGAAAACGGCTCTGCGGTTGAGCTTCTGTTAATTTCTGGTCCCGTTAATGCCAAGTCATGCTGCATTATTGAAACATGACCATCTGACCGAAGATCGCTTACACTGCTATGGCTGTATATATCTTAAAGCAATTAATTGAATTGGTGTATCAAAGCGAAGTCCAAAAGCCGACAAAAACGCCTTTTCGAGGACATGCCTTAATGATGATTGCAACGGTGATTTACTTTACACAATTGTCAATCAACACAGTCGCACTAACTGTCTCTTAAATATGAGCTTGTCTTAAGAGTTTCTGCTGCTGCTGTTGACGCTATTGTTGGGTATTTCTGTCATACAAAGTGCAAGTTGACATGCAAATGCAAGCGGAAAGTTTTTGCGTCATGCATCAGCAAATTCTAAAATCATATTTAATAACGAAATACAGAATTTCAACAACATTTGAAGCACTTTGACGCATGACGCATTTGCCTAAGTGGCCAACAAAAACAACAGCAACAACAACAACAACAACATGGGGTTCAACGAATTCGCGGCACAAATAAACAAACCACAACAATGAGCATTTTGGCCAAATCAACTGGACACACACACACACTTAAGCATAACTGGTTGTAACTAAAGAAATACTTTTTAAGCAAGTAAGAAATAAATAACAAAAAATTTTAAGTTCGCTTTGCCGAAGCATGAATACACTTTAATAGGTGAATTTTTAAAAATTATTACTATTTTATTTTAAGTTTTAATGATTATCTAATATGTCTTTCATTTTGTTTTGAATTGTTTTTATATTTATTATTATTTTTTTACTTATATATTTGAGTAATTTATTTTATTTTTTTGTATTTTTAGATTAATTTTTGCTGATGTAATTTTTTATTTTTATATTTAATTTGAGCTGTATTATTTTTTTTTTTAATTTTTAATATTGTTAATATCTATTATTCTCTAAACATTTAGTACATACATCTATGACACGATACCCCTTGAGCTATCAGCACACTCTCTGATAGGGTATGCAATGGATGTGAGCTTGCCAAATATTGAGCAATACGCAACAAGCATTGGGAGCAACTGCCTGTGTTCAAATGGCCAATAAAGACTATTATATATATATGTATATATCTTTCTTTCTCTATGCAATTTGCATAGTTTTCGTTTTTCAATTCACATTTTGGCTATCAATGAGGCAATTGACAAACGGCGAACGATCTGTGCGCGTACCGGAAAATCCTAAATGGATGTTTATGAATTCGTTTGCTGCCCAAAAGATTCGAATGAAGGAACGGTATTATAATTTAATTGCTAGCATGTTTTGCGTGCGTGATGTGAAAATTGAAAATAATAATAAGTAATAAGAAATAGAATATAAAATGTAAATAAGCGCGGCATGTGACGGCCATTAAAATGGGTCTTAGGGCTGGGCAACGCGTTGCCCATAGATATGGGCCTAGAACTGCTTTGGCCAAAAGCAACTGAACAGCTGAACAGTTGGCAAGACTTTCGCTCTCTGTTGGACTCGCCTGTGTTTTCCCATGGCGTTTCATTTTCCACTTTGCTTGTTTTTCCGATGACATAATTTCAGCCACATACCGAGTGTGTCCATGTGTGTATGTGTGTGTGTGTGTGTGCAGCTGTGTGCGACACAGTTTTGTGTCTGCAACGGCTGCAACTTCTTCGACAACGGCAACAACTTGTTGCAGCAACTTGCAAACCAGTTAAGCTTAATTTACTCGCGGCTAAGTTTAGTTTTAGTTGTTACTGTTGTTGTTGTTGTTGTTGTGGCAACTGGTACTGCGGCCTGTCTATATCATATTTTTGCAGCCCGCCCGCAACAGCAAGCGTTTATTGCCATCCTTAGATAATCTTTTTTGGGGCAAGAATTTAGCAATCTATGTGGCTCTCCGCCTGGTTTGCCACCTATATAAACAAATTAACTAAACTGCAGCTCTCTAATTAAACAGCACAATTGCAGCTACATTTTAAGAGAATGTATGTATAATTGCCGCAAATACTAAGTAATTCACTTAATAATTCAATTAAATTATTTGCTTTTGCATAACAGACAACAGTGAAAGATATACATGAATTATTAATAGTGCGAGAACGAAAACAACTGCGACACGTGCGTAAATTTCAGAATTAAATATGCAAATAGCTACAAATTTTGTTACCCCTTAAAGCTATTCGCATTATTGATTGATATTTAAGGTTCACAGTTCAATGAAACTCCTCCTAATACGTGTAATTTAAGCTCGAGAGCTGTCGGCGCGGCTGTCTCATTAGAGCCTTTCTATTATAGCCTTTCATATTTATCTGCCCTAATGTCAGCGACAAAGCGTTTTTAATTGAGCCATTAGAGTCTGTAATTAAATGGCACAGCTCGAGTCTGGAATTCAGATAAATTATGAAAGCCTCGTTAGCCATGCATTTCCTTTCTTAACCGATTTATAGCATGCCGTTGGGGTCGGCCGATTTAATTGGTATAAATGCTCAAGCGAACCAACTAGAACTGTATGCTTTGCATAACACCTTCTTACCATATAAATACGCTAATTGCCTTGATTTTTATAACGAGCTAAAAACAAAAGTGAAGAAAAAAACAAACCTCATCTAGATTCAGATATAATATGCATTTTACTAGTTTTCTGAAGGCTCCTTGAACTCTGCCGCGCGTGATGAACACACAGCAAAGCGGAGTGAGAGAAAAAAAGAAGTGAACAAAAGAAGAAGAAGGCAGCAAAAGCAACCAAAAACTGAGAGAAGCAAAAAAAAAAAACCCCAAGCCGAAATACCAGTTCAAGTTGAAGCTTTTCAGCGCTGCACAGTTCGGAAATGCACAGAGCATCGAATGTGGCAAGAAGACCTTGACAACAAATTTTCAGGGCCTCCCTCGACGAAGGTCGTTGGGTGCACACAACATGCGACAATGAATGCAGATAAATGTTCATTTCAAGAGACAAAACGCAGTCAGATTAAAGCGACTACTGTCGCATGTGATTGCTAGATCTGGATATAACTATATACATACATATATATGTATCTCATATTAAGTATAAATCTGTATGTATGTGTGTCTATATTTGCACTGAAAATGCGAAAAAGTCGCAACACCCATTTGCACTGAACTTTGCTCTCGAAATTGTTAGCAACAGCAGAAATGCACGTCAAAGCGACTTATAGACGGGCTTACGGAGCGTATCTTTAAGGCCGGCATTGCGGGCCTCCCCGTTCGCTCGTGCAAATTGCTGTTGACCTCTTGCCCAGTGCAGTCATCGTCGCTATAGTTGTTAATTATAGCCAATTAGAAACGACCTGGAAACGCGGCTCAGCGCTGAGCCTGATTTCTGATTTCTGATTTCTGCTTTCTGACTTTTGTTGTCTGAGCAAGCATTGGGCAATGCATTGATCAGTTGATAATGATCACATTTAATCACCATATCATTAGTCAAATAAACAACTCTGTGCAATTAGAGTAACTAATTTAGCCTAAAGACATTCGCCGCTCACCGACTTATTCAGCAATATGTCATCATTGAGATAAATCAAACTTTGCACTCTTCCTACAAGCATTTATATATGGAATTATATGCATTACTTAATGATATGCCAGTCTAATGACATGAATCAATATCAATAACAACTTACAGCTTTATGTAAAAACCTCCAGCTCTATGGCAACTGTCTATTTATTGAGCTCAGCTCTGAATAGAGCTTTAGAAATTTAAATATCTACCCAGTGATATCTACATATATATAAATAGTATCTATACCTTGCATAGAAATAATCTTGGACCTTATAATTATTAATGTAAATTTTTGAGATTTAAAGATATAGTACTCTTTGAAATCGTATATAGATTAAACTTTCAGTTTTGATATCTTCAGCTCTGCTCGATCGGATATTCAGCTTAATTATTATTCTATATAAATGAACATAAAACTATTAAGACTCCATATTTGTAATCTGAAATAGTTTTTTCGCCTATCTCGGATCGATAGTATAGATCGAAATCGAAATAAAAGCACATATGTATAAAGCTCTCATTGTATGAATACATTTCTCAAATGATAATCCATTAGAGCGCCATATGTAGCAAATGTGAGTGCCGATCCAAAGCCGTGTCTCGCTCGTATTCGGATATGATTGCGAATATTCTAATGGCGTTTCGGGATTGGATACAAGGCACAAAGATGTCCATTTGTATGCGCAGCACTTGGGACTGACGAGCGTTTGCACATTTTAAGTAAACAGTAGCCAGAGCCAGAGGCAGAGCCACAGCACAGGTTTGAATAGGGGGCGTGGCGGGGTCTATAGTCACGTTACTGAGTCTCTGGTTTTTTTTTTTTGTTATTTTCATTTTATATGTTTGTTGTTTTCTGATGATGTGGACAATGATCGAGGGTCTGACAAAGTAATTGTGGACTCGACGAAGAGACAAGAGAGCGGCGGCCATTTGTATTACACAGAATATTTATGGTATTATTAATATGTATTCTTATTATTATACTGATGTTCGGGAAAGGCCTTTTGCTGTTGCCATACTGGCTAATGATGTTTGCGCAACGATTTCCTGCAACATGTAGCACTTGAGGTGCCAAGCTCGTCAAACTCCAAATCGAAAAGCTCGCAATTGTTGACTTAGCAAATTCACACTTACAGTTCGCGTTCTTAAGACGTTTCCTGTCCGCTGGATATGTATGTATATATGTGTGTGCGTCTGCGTCCGCGTGTGTTTATCTCTGCGAGTGTGTAGGTGAGTCGGTGAGTGTCGTCAATAGAGCAAATATATTTGCACAATTTGTTGCTAGGCTTGCGCGTTGCTCGTCTCCCTTTGTTGTATTAATTCACTGATTGCCTGATTGCTCTCGTGTAACAGAAGACTTAAGACACAAACTTCAGTCGCTAGCTGTACGCACAAATATATATGTATGTTGCTTCTGATATCAATCAATGGCCGCACTGTATTATCGTTATCGCTCACTAGATATCGCGGCGTATGGCAGAGCGGGAGCAAGTTCGCAGACGCGTGTGTTGCGGTTTAAGCTGCGACTAAGACTGACTTCAAGCCGTTGCTCAAGCTCTGAGCTGAGCTACGCTGATGCTCTACGACGGCGACGTCGCTGCCAGCTTTGCACTTTACACTTTGTCTGTGAGAGAGATGGCGCGCGCGCGCTTGTGTGTGTGTGTGTGTGTGTGTGAGTGTGTATTATACAGACATAGCGAGAGAGCGAGCGAGCGATCAAACTGAGTGTTTCTTCAGAGGCTGCTGCACTTTTGCACGTGCGTGTGTGTTGCTGTCTCGCTGCTGCTAGAAGCACTACTGAATGCCAAAGCACCTGTCCGAGCAGCGCCATGCAAAAGCACTCAAAGAAACACTCGAACCCAAACTGAGCTGTGCTTTGCTCTGCCTCTGCCTCTGCCTTGGCTGAGCGACTCGTAGAAAGAGCGCGTCACGTCTGGCGCTTTTTGAGCGCCTTTCTCAGAGAGCTTACAAGTTTGTTGGCTTCGTTTGCTGCTCCTGCGCGCGGCAGCAACAACAACAACAACACGGAGCTCGTTCACCTTCAAAGCATTCAGCATGCGTGCGGGCTTAAGTTGTTGTTGCTTCTGGTGCTTGTGTTGCTGCTGGCTAGCACAGAAGGGCTTCTTGCTGCCGCTGCAGTTGGGTTTTTCGGCGTCGCTGTTGTGACGTTGACGTTGACGTTAACGTTGACGCCGACGATGGCGTCGCGCCAAGCTTATGTAAGAGGGCGACCTTGAGGGCGACGCGTCGCTTTACACGCCGCGCATAAAACAATGCGCGGCTTCTTCTTCTTATGAGCAACCAGAATTGCAACAGCCGAACCACTCACCATTCACTCGGTCGCCGCTAATTGCATCACCTGTCGAAAAGGCAGCCAGCCAGGTTCTGCCTGGTGCCAGGTATTTAGGCCTGGGCCCAAACTGAAGCCGGAAATACGTAGACAATAAAAAATATTATAAGATTTGAATTCATCGCTGATCCAGGCAGCAACACATTAAAAACAAATGCGAGTCGCAATTATACGTTATAATTTGTCGAAATTGCTCTTAATGCCAAATATGCGTGCGCATTAAGAAGTCACAGCCGCAGTCAAAGACACGTCAATGAGTTTTGGCTTTTTGCGCGTGGTCAAGGCGAAACTTAATGCTTTAATTGTAATAATTAAATCGGCACAGAATCGACTCGAGAATTGATGTGTGATGGACGGGCGTGTGCAGACGTCGCATCCACAAACCGCAAAAAAAATCAATAGCAAATCACAAAATAACAACAACAGCAATAGCAACAAACAACAACATCAATTTGAGACTGGGTATTGCACAATTTCAATGTCAGCCATATGTTAACAGTTTGAGGGCCTCACTTAGGGCGTTCCAACTCGAAACCATGTTAAAGAGACACAGAAGAAGACGAATAACAAGAAAACGTAAAGGGGCCATAAAGAAGAGCAAATGCTCTACTAATGTGAGCGTTATATATATTCATGTAAATTCAAATCGAAAGAAATATATAATAATAAAAATTTTACATAAATAAATATGTTAAATATATATATAAAATTCATCTGAAAAAAATAAAATAAAATAAATAAATGAAATAAATAATATATATTTTTTTTTAATAATATACATATATATATTGTTTTTTATATAAAAGATATAAAATAATAAAATATGTTGTTTCAATAAATTTATATTTGATGAAACTCTTTGACTTTGAATGTTCAAAGTTAAACGAAAAACATTTTTTTTTCAAATACATAAATAAATATAAACACAGAAAGTTTTAATTTTTTAAATTTGAACATATTTTTACAACTTAATATTTGGTATAAACACGCCATTTCACTCACAATTTAAAATATTGTCTCGTTGAGCAAAAAACTTTGTATTTGCATAAATTTCAAGATATCCAATTTGCATCAGCTACAGCCAGCGCCTCAATCTGTTACGCGTTACATATCTAATGGCTTTATCAATAGGCCCACATGGACGTCAGCGCTCACACATACCATATACCATAGACCATGCCAGCTGGGCGACATTTGCGCAACGCTGACATTGAAAATGCCCAACTGCCCAGCGCTGTGGGTGTTTGTTGGTCAAAATGTGCCATCAAATTGAATGTTGTAACAAATCGCGCATGAAATTGAAATTGATATGTGATTGTTGTTGTTGTTGTTGCTGCTGCTTTAGTTGTTGTTGCTAGCCAGCCAAGAGCACAGTGCAAAAATGTTGGCTCTTATACAAAAAGCTTGAGCATTTTTTTTTATTTTACAAATGGATTTCTTTTGAATAGTCAATTAAAGGCAAGGTTTTACGTTAATATGAAATATATACAGATTGCCAGATATGAAAAGCGTCTGTCATGCCTGGCAGGCTTTTTAAAGCCGCCTCTTATCTAGATATATGCATCAATATTTAGGCTGTTTCAGCTGCCACTTGAACTTCCTGTACGAATGCACACACACAAACACATATATGCACACTCACACATACACGTTGCGTATACGCCGTGTGCAACGTCGCTTTTGATGGCGCATAAAACAAAGTTATTTGCTGTAAACATCCTCGTTGCGCTGGCCCAGTAATTGCCGTCAAATAAATGTAATTCACAACAAAATATCCCCGCACAATAAATAAACAAGCTGCGTAAGTCGTTGGCAACGCACTTGACATCGTTTTCTCAAACTGTCCGCGTGCTAATGAGCCCTGCAAATTGGGTTCCATGCCTGCCCGGCCCCGCCCAGCCTGCCTTGCCTGCTCTCTGGCCAGATTTGGAAACACGCAGATGCATGAATCACTACGGCCTACTCCAATTTCCATACTCTAATCATAGGTTAGTCTACGACTAATTCGCATTGGGCCACAGCTCCGATTGTTTCAATCTGTGCAGTTCGAGTTGCGCTCAACACTCTTTGGTCTCTTGTAAAGACCTTCAGCAAGGCAGCATTAAGCTGAGCTGGGAACGTTGCTCTTGCCTTTTATATAGAGCGACTGTCGCAAGTTTTGCTTTATTTGTTATATATCAAACCGCAGCTCCCACATAAAATATAGTCAAGCGAATTTTTCGGCTAGGAATAGCAGTTAATAACTATAAAAATTTAATGATCAATTATATAAAACTCTTTTCACACAAAATAAATTTCCTTATGCATTTGAATAGTGCTCCAGGAACCAAAAAATATTGCAAAAAAACAATAATAGTATATTGATTGGATATTCATGTAAATTTGATCTTAAAATACCTTTTTATATTATATGTAAGTTTACATTTTTTTTTAATAATTTTAATTGCTTACAATAAAGAGTTTAAATTAAAAGTATTCTCAAGGCAACAGCAAAGCTACAACTAGGTGATCTCCCTTCTTTAGATACCCTGTATACTACGACTACCATATAATGGAATTAACTAATTTTTTTATATTTTTATTAATATTAGCTAATATTAGTATTGGGTTCTATTTTCTACATGGCAAAATAAGATTTCCCTACATTCGAGTTTTATATAAAGATCGACTCAGCTTTTGCTAAGGCACATAATACCCGCTAAGCTATCTGCTTTAGCTAAAGGGTATGCATATAAGGAAACAAATAGATTTCAAATCGAATGTAGTTAACACTAAATTGGTCAAGCTGCAGGTGAGTGTTATGCTACCATTGCCAACAACATGAAAAATCTGAAAATGCTTAAAAAAACGTAGGAAACCAATAAAACAAAATGTTTTTTACAGCTCTTTCGGCCAAGCGGTTTCTAGCTAATAGAGCAACACGAAGAGCTTGCAGTTTTCTAGCACTGTCTCAATTTCAGTCTCAGTTAGAGTTTGGAGCTGATGTCGGTCTGTCTGCTTGTCTGTGTCTTGAGCTTGTCTGGCAAGTCATGCAGCGACTGCTGCGGCTGCGCCTTGAACAAGTTTGTTGACTTCGCTGCTGGACAGTGCAACAACTTACAGAAATGAAAAGACAAAAAAAAAGACAGAAAACAGATGAAACAACGAAAACAACAACAGCAGAAATGAAACAAAAACAACGACAACAACGCCGAAGACAAATGGCAAACAGTTTTAAAGAAATTGGTTGACAATATTTTGGCTTTTGCCCATGGCATCAATTTAACAACAACTTGACGCAGGCTTTGCCGCTTGCAACTGTTTCAGCATTTGGCTTTATGAGCACTTCAAATCTAAATTTTGTTTCACTTTGCTGTTTACCTCATCGCATTTATGGCTAGAGAGACGAGCTGGCCAAGACCATGCCCATTCATTCATGTAAACAATTTCATTTCAGTTTCATTTCGTTGCGAGTGCTGCTCAAAAAAAAAAAAAACGAGCACAAGGTCGCCGAAAGAGAATTACGTCGAGGAAGACGGCTCTGGTATCTGGGAAGCAGTCTCAATCTCTCGATCTTTCAACAGTGCAACTGCAACACCAGCGGCAGCCATGCAGCCGTGCAACCGGCAACGGCGGCAAATTAATTGTATTTAAGGCGGTAATTTCAATCTAGAGTCGGCTCATAAAGCGCTCAACGCAATTTCGTTTGCCATAAGTTTTCCCTTTCGCTGCGAAACTCGTTTTCTCGCTGCGCTGTGTCCTAATCACCTATTTCTTCTTTAATGCCTTTTGCGTTCGCGTTTCATGCTTTTTATTGAATTTGCCACCAGTTGGCCAAAAAGCTTTAAGCGGCCATAAAGCCTGCCATTGGCTGCGACGACACACGACACGATAGTTACAGTATTTGCGGCATAACTGCCAGTTAAATTTTGCCAGCCACTTTATTAACTGGTCATCAAGACTCTAAACTCAAATTTCACTTGATAACTAACAGTTAAAATGAAAGAGCTAGCAAGTTAAACTCTAGCTGTGTCAATTGTTTTAAACTAATGTGAGAAATTTACTTTACTTAAGGCTAACATAAAGTTGTATATGTTTGCGTGATAATTTACTGGACAATTTTTATTTCAACTCCATTTGTTCCTTATAAATATTAATCATTAACAAGGAAGATTAAACACAACAGCAAATACCACAAGCTCCCACAGTGAAAAAAGTCTATCTAGCACATATCACATTTAACATGAACTTTGCAAGGAACATGCACTGCAAAACAAAAGCTCAGTCACGACTTAACACCCATCGCTAACGGAGTCTGTCTGGTCCGGTTGTGCTAGCTGCTGCTGCTGTTGTTGTTGTTGTTGCTGGGGTTTCTTGTCTACTGTGGCAGCTGTTGCTGCTCGCCAAATATTATGCAATTCTTGATGCTTAAAGCTTGGGCTCGGCTTCTGCAGCAATGCAAAAGAGCAGCAGACATTACCGGCAGCAATTTATAACGGCTTCGCGACAGTCGCATTAAAGCCACACGCGCACTAAGGAAATTGC